TATGAGCCCCTAATAAAATGTTTAAAAAATAAATAAATAAAAATAAAACAGGTAACATGCACACAAAAAAAACCTGGTATCTGTGGGGCAGTCTGGGGCTTGGGCTTTGCTTTTAAGAATCACTCCGCTGTGCGTGAGGGCTTGAGTAGACAGGAGCTGGATCTGGGACTCAATATTAGGTGGGGGTCTCTAGAGAAACAAAACCAGGACACTTACAATTATATCTATAAAAGGATAGGTTTAGATATTGAGAAGGAATATGACAGCTAATTAGTGACACACAGCAGTACAGAGGGCTCAGTTCTACTCGCTTTCCTGGAACTGTTCATACACTGAAGGTCCTTCAGCTCACACAGGCTGGTCCAAAGCCAAGGCAGCGGACAGCAGACTCTGCCCTCAGGCAGCAGGCACAGCAGGAAGATGAGAAGTTGAGGTGTAGCAGGGGCTGGGAGCTGGGGAGCTTGGCAAATCAGGGACTGATGGAGCCTCAAACTCCAGCCATGCATGCCTGGTATGGCAACAGGATCCATGGGTTGGCTCGGCCCGCAGGTAGTGCAGCCCACGACTGAAGCAAAAGACTAGCTCAGGCAGCAGCACGCGGGTCCAATCGCACCGAGAAAGAGCAGCCTGAGCAGCTAGGCAGAGGGCTGGGTCTGACCGAGATGGAGGAAATCAGGAAGGGATAATGCTGGGCTGTGTCTGTGGAACACTGTCTGGTCCTGCCCCATCCTCACAGAGGTTCTGTCTGAGCCCATTGTTGTAGCCATGGTGCCAGCGCATTTCCTTGAGGGTTGTCCTGCCCCTCAAGCCTAAGGTGAGCAGATTTAAAGCGAGACACCATTGACGGGCAGGGGGGGCGTTCTTGATTAAAAATGTGGTCTATATGGACCAAATAGACCGTTCCCTAGCTTGTCATGCATTCGTTCCAAAAATCTGGACTTTTTTAAAACGCCAAAAATCGGGACTGTCCTGCCAAAAGCGGGATGTCTGGTCACCTCACTCTAGCCCATCAAGTGTACTGTCCTTCCCCAGGACTGGTCTCTCCTGACCACCTGTCCAAAAAGAGTGAGACAAAAAATTCTCACCATCCTCACTTCTAAGTAGCATGCTTGGCCCTACATACTTCTTCTGAGACTGAGGTGTTGGTTCCTCTGGAGGTCCATGGTACGTTCAATATTCCTCCCTGACACCGGCTCTCAAGTCCATCCCATTAGGGCTGCACCACACGGGCCCCTTGTGGGTTCATTAGCACAGAGAAAAGACTGGAAGGACGCTCACCTGCGTGCCCATCACTATGGGTGTCAGGATTTGTGGGGAATCCACGAAACGGGGCTTCAACTTCAGCAGTGCAGTTTTACACGAGTGTCTGATCTTTCCGACCCTCTGGATACTCTTTGTCCAATGGGAATCAAGCCCCAGACTTTAAGAGTTTTGGGGAGCTTTGTTTTTAGAGATGGTGGTGGCATGAGGGCATAGGGGTGATGGGTTGGGCTACTATGATTTTACTGCCTAAAGGAAAAGAGAGTCCACAGACACATCATCTAGAGGACTCCAAAACTGCTGCCACCAAGTCGGTTCTGGCTCTGAGTGACCCTGCAGGACCACCGAACTGGCCCTGTGGGGTGTTAAGACTGTAAATCCGTACAGGAATAGACAGCCTCATCTCGCTCCCACGGGGCAGCTCGTGGTTTTGAACTTGTAGTTAGCAGTCCATCTCCTGATCCACTGTGCCACCAGCGGGAGACCAGCCTCCACCACTGGATGGGTCCTAAGGGGGCGGTCGTGTAACTGATGGGTAAATGAAAGGCACATCAGGCGAGGCACGCAAGGGCTCACTCTTCTGATGACAGGATCAAGAGAGAGGGCGGTC